CCCCCCCCCCCCGGCGTCTCCAGCCTGGGTCGGCTCGGGCCCTGGGGTGCCAGCCCCGGGCCAGCCCCTGGCCGAGCAGCCCCGGCCCGGCCCAGCACCGCCGGCCCCCGGCCCAGCACTGCCGGCCCGGCCCCGGCCTCCGGCTCGGCACCCCTGGCCCAGCACCGCCAGCCCGGCCCAGCACCGCTCACCCGGCCCCGGCCCCCGGCCCAGCACCACCGGCCCCGCATGTCCCGATTTTCCCGGATATGTCCGGCTTTTTGGGATTTCCCCCCGGATGGGGATTTGAAGCCCAAAAAGCCGGACATGTCCGGGAAAATCCGGACGTATGGTAACCCTAAGATATTACAGTTAAAATAGAAAATGTTTTTATATGTCAAACCTTTAATACTCTAGATATATCAAACTATTTTACTAAGGAATAGGTTAGAACTACAGTGACTGGGCAGACAAAGGCAGCAGTAACTATGCTCATGATAACTCACAAAACTCTAAAAATTAGAAACCCTTTTTACTGAGAGGAAGAATTTTGGCCATGACACTTGGATTCGGATCTTGAAAAAGTACCATGAGATCTGCAGTTTCCAGCTGCTGCTAGAGATGGACAGTAAAGCCTCATCTGGAAGTACTACAACTCTAAATAGTGCAATACACTCCCTTCCCCACCCACTTATGTAGAACGATTGGAATAATTAAATACAAAAAGTAATAAATCATCATTTAAGTGCAGTATCATCACTGACTGTGAGCCTAATTCCTGGTGTGGGATTTGAACTCATGCATGTCCTTCTGGGCTAGAGGTAGCTAACTGAGACATATTACCATATATTGCATTGTCTTTAGGAGCCCAGCATAGAGGGAACTAACCTGTTGCATTTACGATCGTATAGTATTTCTAAGCCTTATTAGTGAAGACAAAATGGAGTGATTGACCACATAGATTTGCTTTGGGTCAGAGTATAGATTAGGAAAGAATTTGGCAAGCTTTAACATATTAAACTAACTGTTTAGCTGTAGCTATAAAATAATATTTTTAATACCAGGAATGTTTGCACATCTCATCTACAAAGGACTTTAAAATCAATTGTCACTAATAAAAGACTGGGTAGAAGCAGATCTAGGGTGGGGTAGAAGACTCTTCTCTTCATGGGACTGGCTTAGAGGGATTGGCTAGCATTAGTTGGCACTGGTGTTATAAGCACATAGCCATGAAGAAAAGAAAATAGTTAATCTGGGCTTACACTTTTGGCAAGCCCTAAAACACCTTTGGGACGGCACTGTTTAGGAATCTGATCTGTAAATAGGCTATTATGTATGAGAGCACCTCCACCCTGTAGAATCTCAGGAGTTTGAAATGCCAAGGCCTTCAAAGCATTAGACAAGTCTCTGAGTGAAGACAGGGGTTTACTAGCTGTCAAGGTCCCAGGAGGCCTATAAGGCAAGTTGGCTGGGGCTACCCAGTAAGAGCCAAGGCTGACAGTTCTGCAGGAACATGGAATCAGACAGAGAGAGGCCTACGTGACTGGCAAGTGGATGCAGGTAGGGCTTGTGCTACAGGACCCAGTTTATTTGTATGAAAGAAGCCCAAGGGAAGGGCTAGCCAGTTGTCGGAGGAAAGTCAAGACTCACAGTCCTGAGAAGAGACTGGGTTGTTCTGGTTACACCTCAGAAAAGAGAGGATTTTTATTTGGATCTAGTCTGTAGATCAGGAAGCGGAAGACTTTCACACTTGTGCATTTTTCCTTCTGCAGCCAGAAAAAGGAGAAGTTTTATTTGGACCCTGTTTACATCACAGGAAGGGAAGGGAACCTTTGCTTTCTCTTCATTATTGAGTTACATTTCAGGAATGGGCTCCTTTCAGTGGTAGGAAGAACCTGCCACTATGCTCCAGAGAGATGCATTGTTTGTGATTTCAGAGAACCTGCACTCCTGCTTTCCTCTGTGGAAAAACTCTTTACTGCTACTTAACCAGGAGCTCCTTTAAGGTTGCCACTAGTTTGGATTTTTCAAATCTCTTTCATCTACAGTTATTTCAATTAATATTTGCTATAACAATAGCAAATGTTAACAATCTGGGCCTGTCACTAAGGATGTTTTACCACCAAGTCCAGGTGCTTTTTTAATTAAAAACCCCCCCCACACACACACACACA